AGTACAAGCTTATACGTGTACCGTGTAAAGGTTGTCCTTTTGGATTTAATTTGACTTCTTTATTAATCAGTTTCCTGAATTTCTATCAGAGAGTGATAATCTGGTTCAATCGGAAAGAATATTGCGTATCAAGACACAGAGTAGCGGCGAGGAAGGCTCTAACATAAGCATGATATGATAAGTATGTAATAACGGCGAGCGAAAACGAAACTGCATTTTAAAGGTTAGGTGGTTCTTATTTCATGTTTCATGACGGGAAACATGATCTGAATCGTTACATTCCCCAATGCTTGGATGCTGAGTTCTTTGCAAATTCGCCGCGATATTGCTGGCTGCGGCGGCCGCGCGGCGACCTTTCTACGCAGATCGATGTAGCTATAGTCCGACCGCATCCGTAACGATTTCATGACCCGCAGTCACAAAATCTTCTTTATAAATGGGTTCCTGTATATAGGCCGAACTGGGAAACGTATCACTTTTGGTAGCGCATCGACCTATTCCTGGAGTTAAAGTAGCTGTTAGCAGGATAAGGTACAGTGCTTGGCGAGGCTTGAGCTCGGCAAAAGACTTGCGAAGGAATGCGTTTTGCGTGGTCCCATTCTCTGATTGGAGAGTACCTTGGTAATTACCTCTCTAGCATTGTTGACCGCTGTGACCAGGGTTGTGTTTTAATGGAAACCAGGACGCAGCACGAGCTGATATTCTATGAAATTCTTTGAGCGAAGGCTGTCCTCGAACGTGCGATTTCGAATTATCATGTGCAGTTTGTAGACGCTTTTTGGACAAGGCAGCGGCTTTTTGAAAATGAGAGAAAATGAGAGTACGGTTTCGTTGTCGTTTATGAATTCCAGCGAACACCAGGCTCTGCTGAAATGAATTTCGTGGAGCTGGATCTGAACGTGTTCTTAAGTAGCATTTTTTAAGTGCATTCCGAATGAGATAATTCCCTTCCTATATGGGAATAACTTGCATCTCAGTTCTGATTATAACGATCGATGCGTTTGTTAGCGTTTTGCTGTCTCAATCGAATGTCCTTGACTGGCAAACAATCGAAAGGCATTAGTTCCCGTCATTTGTAACACCGCTTTTCGAGAGCTTTGCTCGCTGTATTATTCTTTGCTGGTTTACTATAGAACCATTTTTTGTCCAATTTATTTCGTGTGCTCCTTTTATGAGTGTGTTCTTCATGCTTACTACCACATTTTTTCTTCACTTTTAGGTCGACGCATCTCAAAGGATGAGCAACCGTGCAGTAGCCGTATTGCGAGGTGATCCCGGTGTGACGGGGACGGTGTGGTTCAGCCAGGTTATTCTTTCAGTTGTAGCGATATTACTTCATACATACCTCCCTTTCAAAAAACGAGAAGAGCGTCGTGTGCAGACCATACACCACAAGTGACGACAGCTTCTTTTCTGGTAAATGATAGTTGTAATTAGTGACAACTGATAGAATACAACTGCAACAGGCTAATCATTTCATTGGCAGAAAACATTTACATTTTGTGAAGGCCGTCGTCACTTGTGGTGTATGGTCTGCACCCGACGCTCTTCTCGTTTCTTTTTGAAGGGAGGGTAGCTCCTAAGTATTATCAATTTGTAGCCATAGAAAACTACCTGCATTTCAATCAACCTCTTGCAGGACAAGGAATCTGACCAATGCGTGATCAAAGGCGAAATCAAAGGTCTGACTCCCGGTCTTCATGGATTCCATGTCCATCAGTACGGCGACTCCACTAATGGTTGTACTTCTGCTGGGCCACATTTCAATCCTTTCAACAAAACTCATGGAGGACCTAAGGTACGAATTTGTTGGTTAGAAGTTCAGCTGTCTTCACTTAGTAGTGACCGCGAAAAAAACGAACACAACGAGAGT